GGCAGGTGGAAGGGGCAGGTCGGTAGGTAGGAAGCGCTGCCGGCTGCAGTTTGCTAATCCTCTGCTGTGGTGCTGGCCGTAGCTCCGCTGACAGCACAGCGTTTTCCAACAGCAAATGTAACTTTCACTTGGATTTTAGTCTTTGCACGCCAAAAAAGAGTTGTTTGTTTTTTTTTTTTAAGTCAGTGAAGCAGAAGAGGACTTGTTTAAAACCCCGCACAGAGTCTCTGAGCGGAAAGGCTTTAGGCCGAGCAGGCTGGTTTGGTTGGGCCGGCAGATTTTGTACCCCTGTCTGTGCGTTCGTTGTGTTTCCGGAGGTCTATGCTCCAAGGGAGGAGAGGAAAAACGATTTGGGGTCTGGGAAAGGCGAAATACCGGCCCCTGGAGACAGGAGCTACGGACCCAAACTGAGCTCAGGAAAACTGCAGCGAGAGCCGAGGAGGAGGCGAAAAGAAAAGAGCAAGTAGCGTTTCTTCAGATGCAGGCGCGTCTCTACGTCGGACGTTCCTCTGATTTTTTTAGGATTAGTATTATAGTGCTTGTATTACCTGCAAGCCCAGCGATGAGGCCTCCCCTCTACAAATACAGAGAAAGAGAAAGCCCCCTGTCCCAAAAAGCTGAGAGTGCAATCAAGATGAGAAGGAGGGGGGCTAATGACACAGATATCTGAAGTAACTTGTCGCACAGTCAGTGGCAGAGACAAGAAAGAGGACTCCTTTGAAAAGGGCAGACCAGACTTGATACTTCATGTGATTTCCAGACTTAGATCTTTCAGGTTCCCAGAGGAAATAATAGAGCTGTGGAAACCCCAAGTTTATCCTCCTAACCGACCTTAAATTCAACAAAGGACATAGACAATATAAAGAATGCTGGATCACATGGAAACTGTTGGTTTCAGGACTTAGGCGCTCAGTTGGAGATACGTGAGCCCTGATCTTTAACCTTAGAGAAGACATCTGGGACATCAAAGCATTCCACGTTTTTGAGCTGATCATAACTTAATTCAGGCAAGAAGCGTGTTCTCTCTCTCGAAAAATCAAAGCTCATTCATCCCAGGAAACTTTCATCTTTTTGAGTTTTCATCTCTTTCTAGAAGGGAATACTGAAAAACTGAGGGAGAGCAGAAGGGCTCGCTAATCGCCTACTGACTCAGCTGCATCTGAGAAGGTTCAGTAGCAGTATGAGAAGACTGCAGCGGTGTGGGGGAGCTTCAGCAAAAGGAGCAGGCGGACTGGGATGTTAGCAAAACGTCAGGCAGAAATATCTTCCCTCCCTTTGTTTTAGGAACATCGACTGAAAATAAGATGCTCCCCAAACTGACGAGGAGCCTCTTATCAACAGCCTTGCTCAGGAAGTCCTCATAAACTTTCCGGCTGCAAAACCGTTCTGTTTCCTTGCTGCTCAAAATAGACTGGAGACTGCGGGGATGTTTCTTGCTGTCTTCTGCATCCTGTTTACGGATCTCGTAGCTCTGGCTTCTCTCTGCTTAGGTTTGCTGTTTCCTTACTGAAACGCTCAAGATGCCTGATTGAGAATCAAACAAAAAAGCACAGTGACTAAAAATAAGCAGGAGGGAAGCACAGCTGCCTCCAGTAAGAGACTCTGCTCCTCAGTTAAGGAAAGGGAACGTAGGTGGGACTTTTAGCCGATACTAAAAGAACCATGCGAGCGTTCAGGAGCAGAAGAGGAACATAGATGGCCCTGGGATGATTACAGAGGCCATAGATGTACCGCGTTGCTCTGATCACAAGTTCCATAGCAATTTAAGAAACAGACCGTCCATATGTCTTTAAAAAGATCGTAGAAAAAGGGGACTAATCGAAGGCATTTACAAATGTGTGGCTTATTCTCCCGTGTCTGTTGTTTATAAATGTGGGCCTAAGCACAAACGAACGTGCAGTCTGAGAAGAGATCCCTTACAAGGTGATTAGGAAAGTGATTTGACTAGTTCCATGGTATGTAACCTGTGACAGGGATTTCCAGGATCCATGGATATGTACTAAGGAGATCCACAAAAGAGAATACAGTAAAGCCAGCTTGTGTCAAGCTTAATTTAAGAGAGTCTCAGGGAAGCCCATAGTTCCAAAAGAGATGAAAACTAATGCATTAGTAGAAATAATCATTTTTCTTTTTTTGTCTGTTTATTAAAAGGCAACACTTCAGTTCTTTTTGATAGATTAAGGTGAGCTGGAGAGGAAATTCATCCCTCTCCTCCTGGAAAAAAAAAATACTAATAATACAGGGAAAAAAATCCCAGATGTTGTATTAAACAGCTAATGTGATTTTTCTCAAACGTTAGCTGTAGAAAATTTAACGTGAAATGTACACATTGATACAACATAGCAGTTTTAAAGTATACAAAAACTTATGCCCCTGTAACGTTATGATTACGTCTCAAATATTCAGAAACTGAAAAATAAAATGATGAACCAGTCATAGCAGCTTTAAGTCAAACATATTGCACATAGGCTGTAGAGTCATTTTACCCACACAAAAAACTTGCCACTGCTACTGGAAAAATTGGACTTATGTGCAGTGAAATCTTTTTGGATTTTTAGTTTTGTAAAGATTTTTTAGTTAATCTTGTCAGATTGGTTAAAGCAGCCACTGCAGATGAATCGTGTAAGCTTAGAATAGCAATGCAAAACCTGCATCCAAGTAACTTCAGTGGTACTGTCTCATAAATACGATATTTACTAGAATTAGCAGAAATGCGATGCTGTATCTGTGCAGAAAACTGTTGTAATTGAATTTGATTACATGGGACATCTGTTTTCTTAGATGTCTGAATCTAGCCTCTAGGAAATATTTAGCTGCTGAAGTTCTGCATGGGAGTGAATCATGCCTGGGTTCATTAGTGTTGTTTAAGCATCCTGCATCGTTGTGTAGCAGGAAGGGTAGACAAATGGACAGATGTACATTTCATTAAAAAAAATGAGAGAATATGTTTCCTCAAAGCGCCCAGTAAAAATCCACCAGCGAGTGTGAATCCAAATTAGATGTGAAATAGTTTTAGTGACCGTGGTTTAAGTTCTGATCCTAAGAGAAACCCAGCTTTGACTATATCAATATTCTAAAGATGTTCGTAATGCTCCTTGCATTCTGCGACAACCAGCAAAGGGGTTGTGTGGCTCTGCTTTTAGGAATTATGTTTGCCTGATGTTCTGGGTGGGAAAAGATGAGTAGCATTAAGACTCTGATTTCCATGTCACAGACGTTACCCCACTGTCGAAACGCGAGCAAAGACCTTCAATGGATCAACACACGTGACTGTGCCAGACGACAGTGCTTTTCTTAAAGCCTTGCTTTTTGAACTTAGACTCACGGATCAGAATTTTGTGGAATATCGAGATACCTGTACTCGCATCAATAAGTCGTCGGTATATGCGGTGCGCACTGATGGAGGGGACCTCTGGCCTGTGCTTGCTTTTCAGAAGAGTGGTCTGATCTATGTGTGTCTTCCACTGGTGGAGCAGGCCTTGAAGCCGCGGCCCCCCCTCCTTAGCATTAGTGGGATCTCGCAAGGACTTGATCTTTTGTCAGGCATTCTGGACTTTGTCTCTCCTAGTCGGAAAAATGAAGCTGAGTTGAATGCAAAAGTAGGCCAGCTTCGAAATTTGCTTCTACAGGCCTGTCCTCTTGGCACCCCCTTACAAACAAATTTACGCAGCTTAAACAGCTCATTTGATGACATTCAGGATATTTCTACAAATCGTGATCCGAGGCAACCAGCTTGGAGAACCAACACATATAAAGGCAAACCGCACGTTAGTGTTTGCATCACAGAAAAAGTCAAGTGTATGCAGTATGACAAAAGAGATGTCGTGGACATGTGGCAAGTTTATGGAACTGTAGCTTGCAAGGTGAGACCGTTTCTTGTGCAAGTCTGACCAAACGACTTACTGTTCAGGCACGCTGAGAAAGTAAATATTCGTCTCATTTTACTTTAGTATGTGATCGGTGAACTTCTAATATTGGAATACTGGAAAGTGTAACAAACTATTGCATATTAGCAGAGTATTTTATTTTAATCTTTATTGATACTTTCCTGCATGCTTCATGCATTCTTCACTATTTGTGGGACTTAAATTTCCAGCAGTAGCTGCTACAGTCTATGTATTTCCCCAAGTTTTTCTTTTTTTAAATGAAATAGAGAGAAATCATTTCATGCAGCGTTTGCATATAAAGACTAAGAGATGTTGGTGATGATGCCAACTTTACTTGCAGCGATCTAATAGACAATGTGTATAATAATGATGAGAAACTGAATTCCTGAGCAAGTCTTCCACAGGTATCTTCACATGAGTGTTTTTAATTAATTTCTTACCAAACAAAAGTTTATCTTCCGTCCTGCTTCATTCTAGTGTAACAAAATTTTGAATCCACAAATGCAGTTTTTATGTCTGACATAAAAACCGTTGATACAGAGTCTGGTGAACAAAACCGTTTTTATAATTATTTGAATATTTTTGTATGTGACAAAGGTGTTCATTGTTTAGGACTAAAAATCAGATCAGGGAGTGCTGATTAAGGACATCATAATTATGAAATCTGTTAATATAATAATGAAATATGTTAATGTTTGTATCTTCTATAATTAGCGTAGAGCTTTTATCACAAAATTTAACGCTCCTCTTTGTCTCAAATTGTGCTTAGGAAGCACACTACCTTATCACAGTACACTGCATTTGTAACTGCTGCTGTTTTAAAAAGAGAAAGACCTTCTAATAAAGTGGATGATGGTAATTTAATTATTAGCAAGAGGTGGCAGGATGCTCATCTCCCAGGGAAGCCAACCTAAGTACTGCGCTTCTGAAGACTAGGTTATTTCCCGCCAGCCATGCTGGTAGGGATTATGTGGGTGAACAGCTTCCTGCTCTCACAGGGACAAGTTTCTAGGTCATCTTGCAGCGTAGATGGCCTTACATAAAAAGAAAGCCCTGCTGTAATCACGCGCTGCTGAGCTGGCGCACGAAGGGACGAGACAATGGATGTGCTGCACATGGTTGCTATGAGAAAGCTGACGTGGGACCACAGTGGCCCTTAATAGCATGTTTGAATCTATTAAGCAGATGTTGTAAAAGTAACTGAATTAATTAGGCTGTCACTATGTGTGTTTCTATAACATTTATAATAGTTTAGGTTTAACAGTAAGTTCTTGCCTTTCTTGTATGCTGCTTTCTTGATAAAGAATATTTGTAAATTAAAAGCCATCTAGCTAAGGCTCCGGGCCAGTAGCTGCACTCTGTGAAAGCCTGCGGAAGAGGGAAGGGGACTTTGTTTTGAAAGTGTTTATCATTGCTAATACTTGAAACCAATTGAAGTTTTCCAGTGTGATAATATGTGCATTTGATTTTTAAACGTGTAACTCTGATTTTAAGGGAAATATTTTAGAATAACTTCTTGACTTCATTTTTTCAAGTGTGATATAGAGGGAGCTGCACCAAATGTAACCCTCAGTTTGAATCTCCCTACTAATGGCTCTCCGCTCCAAGACATCCTGGCCCATCCTTGTGTGACTTCCCTTGACTCTGCCATGCTCATGTCCAGCAGTGTGGATGCGCTGGATGATTCTGCGTTTAGTGGACCTTACAAATTCCCTTTCATTCCTCCGTCGGATTCATTCAACTTGTGTTCCTACACTTCCCAGGTAATAACGTCGCTGATCCTCAGGGTTTTCTAGTCTTCAGAAGCCAATAAAAATATCTGTGCTTCACAAGGGAATAAAAATATCTGGTCTTCTCCAGGTGCCTGTTCCACCAATTTTGGGACGTTATCAGCTGAATGAAGAGGGATCACAGTTAAAATTATCAATTAATTTAAAGCTTCATGAAAGTATAAAGAATGCTTTTGAGTACTGTGAAGCTCGTATACCTTTTTTTAACAGGTAAGAATAAGAAAACATCAATGTTTCCTGCTTTTCTCTGTAATCTTCCTAAAATGAACCTGTCAGGAGTTAATATAACAGGTTTTGCTATATCAAAACAGTACCAGGGGACACTGACCTTATTTCTTGTCAAGAAACCTCCTTGGAATCCGTGTAATTTCCGCTCAGAATATTTGATAACATTCTGAATAATTATTTTTTTTATTTTGAGTATCCTGTTTTCCTGTGGTATTTTTTTTTCATGTTAAGTGCAGTCACAGTCCTCCAGGTGGATTGTCTTGAGATCACTTCCAACCCAAGGTTACCTGTTCCTTAAGACTGCTAATCCTAGCTACAGATCAGCTTATCAAAAATATAGTTATTTAAAATTAAAACGATCATTTTCATTTAAGCCTCTCTGACAACTGCCATGACTACATTGCCACATAATTATCATGAAAATTTAAAGATGAAATGATAAAAAGTTGCTGGTGCTGATCATAGTGCTGGTATTTTCCTGTCAGTGAACTGAAGACAGTGGACTATCAACAGCTCTCTTATGATTACTGGGTTGAAACCACAGTGATTTCCTCCTGCTCTGTAATTTCTTTCCATAAATTAGTGGTATGATTTGTCTGTATGCACATAAATAATGGCTTTCAGTATTTGTTGCTTTCTTCAACAAAATAAATGCTAACAAATACTGAATAATAGTAATTCCAGTGGCTTTACTCTCCCTCTCCCGTACTACAGGGGCCCAATCACTCACTTAGAATACAAAGTTAGTTATGGCCAACTGGATCTATCACGAGAGAAGAGCTTAGTGGTTTGGGTCATAGGTAAGCTATGCACCTCTGCACCCTCCCGCTTCCTCCCCCAATCATTTTTGTGTATTGTAAACATAGATGTGTAATAGATGCTGTTTCTGGCTTTAGGACCAAGGTTCCCTAAGTCTTTGGAAATTTCTCTTACTGGAACTGTGACTTTTGGCGCTATAGGTGAAGAGCACCCAACTGATCTCATTTGCACTGGGAACACTGCTTATGTAAAAGTAAGTTGCTGTCTCTGTGAAAAGAAGCCTTAGAAATCATTTTATTTATTATCTTGAATTGGCTATGAAGATACACTGATTTTGACCAGACACAATAATTAACCTCTTAGTACTCAGTATGGAGTTTTCTGTTTTCCTGCCTACAGGATGAGATATCGTTGTCATTTTGGGGTACCCCCTGCACACCAAGAGCATGTAACATAAGGTACAGTAGGCATAACAGCATGCGTCTGATCATGTTTTTCCTCTCTGCCTGCAGCTGTATTTTAGGATCCCAGACTTCACGCTTACCGGATGTTACGTAGACCAGCATTCTGTTCAGCTCTTTTCACCAGGAAAACCAAAAATTAATGCATGTGAGTTACCAAACATGTTGATTATTTACCTGAGACTTCACATTGAAGTTATGAATTGGATGCCAGTGACTGAAGTTAGGTAACTAAAGTTGGGCATCTCTTTTCCTGGTTTTCTTGGGACATGCCAGACAATTTTTCTCTCTGCTTTGTATTTTTTTTCCAGGAATGCTTAATGCACCTTTGGAGTAGGGACTAGCATCTCCTCTTTTAGATGAAAGCCCTTGTCATTCAGTTACAAAGTCAGGTTCTCTCTTGGGCTCTCTACCCTTAGCCCTGTGATGTTTTACCGTGTTCTGCAAAATGGAAGAACTTTACCTGGGAGGACAGAGAATATCTCTGTGTAGTCTGGTCTGTTGGTTACGACCCTTTCCTAGGAGACGTGAGATGTAGGGTTTGAGATACAGACTGCAGTTACAGAACTCAGACCCTGCATGCTAGGTAAGGCTGTTACTGTAGAGGTGGTCCTACGTTAAATCTGTGGAGCAGAAAATGGAAACTAAGTCTGCTTATGCTTAAATTAACACATGACTAGTTCCAAGTCTGCACCAAAAATATACTAATTGGGAACACAGTAGGCACTCATTAAATCTGAGCGGTAGTGTCTAATGGAAGCATTTCTATGTGTTGCTTTGTATCTGTTGTAACTTCTGCCAGTCATGTTAGCAGAAGTCTGGAAATGCATATGAAAACTGTGACCTACGCTATTAATTTTGTGACAGGTCACATTCAGTCCTCAACTGTAACACCAAAGAGCATTATTTTTATACTGTGTATTTTATATCAAGTACGCAATTTATATTCATTGAACAAAATCCAAGCCATCCACCTGCTTTGACTTAACCTCTGCTTGAATTTTAAGCTCATGACTGATACATTAGTAAAGGTAATTGAAGCTGAGACTTTAAATGTCTCATTATCAGAAACTATTTTCAAATAATAATGAATCTTACAGTTTAAAAAGGCCATTATACCTTTTTTGTAAACTAGTAAGGATGGATTAGTAGTCTCTTAACTTGGATGAAGGAATGTCTGATTGTAAGGCACCCCATAATGCTTATTTTTCTTGCCTGTTTTTTAGCCCGGGAACTGATTTCTTCTGATTACTACATCTGGAATTCCAAAGCATCGGCACCTATCGTGTACAAAACCTTATTTACTAATGAATGATTTTTGTATTTAAGCAAAAAAGACAGCTAATGAAAGTAATGTCAGTGATACAGTAAAAATAAATTTGCTGCAGCATTCTGTATGTGTGTTTATTTAAAAAAAAAATCTGTTGTGAGGAAGAGCAAATGAATTTGTTTTTCTTAACCATTTAAAACCAACTTATAATTTTAGTCCTGAATAGCAACTTAGAGAAGGCAATCTGAAAAGTACTTGCCCTGCCCATTTATATGTCCCTTCTAACATTACCTGGTACAAAATAAGTACCCAGTGATGCAGATGATGTCGACTGGTGTGCCTGAGCACATCTTCCCGGGAGGACTCCATTATTTCACTGCCTTTGCAAGCTAAAGGGTTCACCAGGACAGGAAAGCTTTCAATGTCTTATTCCTGTCCTGAAGTTATAAAAATCTTATTAGACCCCAGATTAAAAGGAGAATTAAAAGCAAGAGAGTTTTCTTCTTTTCACAAGATGATTTTGTGCAGAGATGGGTACAGGATACATATGAGCCAGTAATGTAGGAGAATTTTAAGAGAGAAAGTATGATATGACCCGTGCTTTTAAAAGTGGAGCGATACAGGAGTCTTTATTGCTCCCATCTGCAGAACTGATGAGTTCCTTTTCGTATCTGCCTGCAAACTGTGTTGTTCTGAGAGCTGTTATTGGTGAGTATCCAGAAGTGTGAACCTGTTTTTTAAAGTCACAAGATTAACTCTGAGCAGACAAAACCAGCTAAGTTTGCTGGAGGTTCCAAGAAGCATCACTGAGCCATTTTCTCTAGAAAAAACAGGCTTAAAGGAAAAGGACTCGCTTTACAGAGGAAACCTCTGATTTTGAGAAGAAAATTGGTATCTGCAGGAACACAGGAAATGGACTTTGAGAGAGTTATCAGGAAATGAGCAAATTCTGAAAGGCTGGTGAAAAACTGAGGGAACCTGGAGAGCAGCACAAAAGAAGAGAAGAATGCCGTCTAATAACTGAGCATGCCGGCTGCTCCTGCCATACTTCTTGTTTAACTGTACGCTGTGTGATAAATAAGATTAGTGATTATGTAAGGAGAAAAGTTTTAAGCTATAATTTAAAAAATGCTTAGATCAAGATAGTAATCTAATTGGTTGGTTAAATGTTCTAAAGAGTGGATTAATTCATGTGAAACATGCCGTTCAGCTTGCAACTGCTATGCAAACTTATCAAGGAGAGCTGTGCTATGACCCATTTCACAAAGTTGCTGCATCTATTGTGATTAGCAGGCAAAAGGTGTTGAATGACTTTGCCCTGAATCCTGCCCCCACCCCTTACAGTCAGCTGCATGCCTCGACACCACGATGTGCAGGGGAAAAGGGTCCCTCTGATGAAAGGGTTTAGATCACGCTCCCTGTGCTAGGTAGCTACTGCAGATTTTCAGTATGCAGTGTTTGCTTCCAGCCTTCCCATGAGAAACACAGAAGCTGTCTGTACAGCACAGCAGCCCAGAGGAGGGATGGCTTTTCTCCTTCGTAGGAGTCCAAAGAGTGCTCCCAGGAAATGCGATGCAATGATGGGACTGCAGAAACTCTCAGTGCATTAGAACAGGAGATTCAACCTCGTACTTGAAAGCATGGGGGCCTTCCCAAATCACGTTCCTTTTTGATTTTCCTCTTGCCCGTATTTCCAGCTTCTCTAAGGTTAGGACAGCTGCAGTATTCAGGAACGCTGGTGGTGTAGGTTACTTTAGGCGCAGCCATCAATGTGAGTTTGGATGGAGGGAGAGGGTGGGTGAAGCTTCTCTTCTAACCAGGAGCAGCTTTATACAACTTAGGGGAAGCCATTGCCCATTGTGACTGGAAGAGGTTTTGCTCCGTAAACTTCTGCATTATAGGCCTAGCCTGCTTTTGCTGCAGTGCCTCTGCTCCTGCTCAGGGATAGCTCTGTGGTAAGAGAAGAGGGGAAGAGAGGCTGTGTCTGCCCTCTAACGAAGTGCGGCTGAAGCCCGTGGCAGTCTTGCGCATGCAGCATGTTCTGTCAATTGAAAAGAACACGCGAACTTGTCAGACAGCCAAACTGGTTAAATTGGGACATGCCTTAATCCAACTGCCATGTGCACCAACCATGAGACACCAACGCTGGTAGAGAGAGGGAGTCTGATTAAGCCTTTCTCCTGACCTGATGGCTACACTTCTCTTTTGGGAAGGGGAAAGGCTGAATCTTATGGATGCTTAGTTAAGTCTGAGTCTTAGCAAGGTCAGGGTGTCTCCCATGACATGGAGGAGGTGGGTTTGCATCCCCATGGAAAACAAAAGATTTGACCGTGTGTTCTCCATCCCCTGTGAGGTAAAAGGAAAGGAACATGCTGGTTTTCTCCCTGGCCCTGGCTGCTCTGAACCACTGCCATGCTCTGCAAAGGAGCTAAGCAGGGGAACACCTGATCTCATTCAAACTAGACAGCTAGCAACCTGTCTGAGGTTGCTCCAGAACCTGTCAGCTCCATCCTGTCTGAGGTACGTTCAGTCATGTCCTGCAGAACACACGACATGGAAAGTACGAAGTGATCTGTGTGGAGGTTTCAGGTGCCTTCAGGTTTAAATAATCATAAAGTTAATACAGAACTCACTTCATTAATAAAATGAGCTCACTTCATTTCATAAAATTTGAGGGTAATATAAGTAATGCTAATTAACAAGAATTTATAGCAAATAGATACTGTCAAAGTTTTTGAATGAGATTGCAAGTTCAGTTGGTAAAGATAATAGAGTTGATGATGCAACAGACCTCTAAGACATCAAAGCAAAGGAAAGTCCGTGTATTACCAATTAAGCACATTTTAAAATGGCTGACATTTCAGAGTGCAATAGCAATGGGGAACTACCATCAAAATGTTTTGGATCTCAACTGTGTTACTTAAAAGTTTGTGGAAGAAAACAGAATTTGCGCTGATGAAATTTGTGGATGGGGCAATGACTGAGAAGCAGTGATTAATGAAGATGCTGCAGCCCTCATCCGGGATAAGCTGCATAGCTCAGCAAACACAAAAGTAGATGTTCCAGCACAAACAGTCACAATGGTTATCTGTTTGGAAACAGATGCCATCTATCCAGGGTGAGAGGAACAGGGGGGCTGAGAAGGATACAAGTGCAAAAAGACTTAGTACAAGGGTGAAGTGTGCATTGCTGTAGCCTGAAGGACCAATATAATTACTGAATGTGTAAGGAGGAAAAATACAGGAGGGGGAGTACTTGGCAATGGTGTGAGCACTTGGCAATTCTCACCAGCCCACAGTGCCCCCATTCCTAGAAAAATGTCCAGACTGGGAAGCTCCTGAGACAAGCCATGAGGAGGCCAAGGACTAGAAGACATATTTTAGGATGAAAGATTCCAGGAGAGGACAAGCATACAAGATGTAGGGCTCAGAGAGGACAAACGCCTTGGAGTGTAGGGCTGGAAGAGGGTTAGAGAGTGCATCCCCTCACTCTGAAGGGACCAGCTCTCCCTAAACCCTCCCTGAGGGATGCTCCCTGTCCTGTGCATCGTTCTTCCCCGGCTGATTTTCATGTTCTTGTCACAGAAAAGATTTCCCCTATATCTCACCTAAACTGCCTTGGTTCTTCCATGCCTCCCCGCCCCTCAGTCTCCTTGCTGCCCTCAGTATGGCCTACCTCTCTCTCCAAGTGTCACGTCCCAAAGAGATGCGTTGTCCTGAGGTGCTGAGGTGAGGAGAGGGATCCCCCTCCGGTGTCTTAAACACGCTCCTCCTCCTCCAAAGCCCAGCCAGCCCTGACATCTCTCAGCTTTACCCCACTTGAGGTTCGGAGATGTCCCACCCCAGCAGTCATGCCCTGACCTGGACCTGCAGAGCGGATTACTCCGACCCAGGGCAGCGCTTTGCTCTAGTCCTCACTGAATCACGTCCTATTCACCTCAGCCCGTTTCTTCAATTCAAGCGTCCCCGACGTGTTCACGGGGCCTGTTCCTCCCACCACAGAAAGGAATTAGTGCCCCTAACAGGACTGGCTGTTGGCAAATCCACCCTGGCTGCTACTTATCGCTGTTCTGTTTACGCTCTCTGGAGGTATTTTTGTACTTTTTTGGTGTTCTGGAAGTTCACTCCTGACACCACGGTCCTAAGGTATGTGGTGACAGCTCTGAGATGCTCTCTGCCAGTTTCTCAAGTACTTTGGGATAAATCCCATTACTTCAGATAATTTGTAAGCAGCTACTTTTTCTAAGTGGTCCCTAACTTACTCCTTCCTTCCTCTTCCCTCTTCTACATTTTTATTCTGTTTTTTCCAGTATTAACTTTTGTGGCAATTTGACAGCAGTTAAGCATTTTATCATATATCGAAACAAAAAAGGCATTAAACATTAGCCTTTGCAGCAGCTTTCCTCTCCTTACATATGCTATCTATCTTTTATGCATATCCTTACAAATTTGCCATGCTGTGTCCTGTTTGTACAGGCCCTTTCTGCAGCTTTAGGTCATAACAGAGCTTGTGTGCAAGCCCAGTTTGTCCTTTACTGTATTTGCTCTTTCCTCCACCACCGCCTACTTTACACTTGTTCTCTCATACTGTTGCTTTAAAAAACACCCATTCCCCGGGCTGCCTTGTCTCTTTGATTTATTTCCCATAAGCTCCCACTTACCAGCTTTCTGAACACGCTGAAATTTGGTTCTGTTCCCTGCTTTTCCTGTGACTGGGTTCTCAATGGCTTGTTTTACAGTCACTGTCTCCCATGTTGCCTTCCACTGTCCCGTCAGCAGTTGGCTTCTCCAACATGTTCAGTACCGAATCCCAAGGAATCTTCCCTCCTGGTGCCTCGTCCACTCCCTGGAAGCAATTCCTCCTCCTCAGCTCTCAGTTTGAGGGAAATGAAACAGTCCAGAGCTCAGCTGGGGCCTGAACTTGAGCCATGCTGCATGTGAAGCAAGAATTTACTGAATAGTTAGCATGCAAAAAATACCATGTATTACCAACAGCACCTTTTAGGGTGGAGTTCACCATCAGAAAGCTGTGCTTGTCCTTAGAGCACTATGGCAGCCATAGTCCCTGAAGCCTTTAGGTGAGAGTTTTGAGGATCCCAGTTTGGGAAGTACAAGCTTCCT